TCATTCATGGCTTTTTTTTTTAAATCAGTTTTAAAACCTTATCTCTCTTCAGGGAGTTAACTATAATACGTTTTTCTACCTTGCATAAATGACTCCACATTAACCTACTGATAATAATACCTTGTTTGAGTTGGCCAGTGCTAATGGCCCACAACCCATCTGTCAGTTTGTTGTCTGTGGTTGTTTGCGTGTTGCTATGATGCTGCAAACTGTGCCACCAGTATTTCAAATACCAGCAGGGTCACCCGTCGTTGACGGGTTTCAGTGAGCTTCCAGACTAAGACAGACTAGGAGGAAAGGCCTGGTGATCTACTTCTGAAAATTAGCCAGTGAAAACCTATGGTTCAAAACAGAACATCGTCCAACTTGCTTGCTTTGGACGCATCAGGATATCACGTTTGGTGAAGTCAAGGGCCAACGAGGATGTGGGAGAACACCAATAAGATAGGGTGGCACAATAGCTGCAATGATGGTCTGGAACATACTGGAGATTGTGAAGATGACGCAGGACCAGGCCATGTTTCCTTCTAGTTTACATGAGGTCGACATGAGCTGGAGTTGACATGGTGGCAGTATCTTTCTAATAACAATGGCTTTTGCTATTTCTGTCGGGCCTCCTTCTGTGAACTTCCTGGTTTGGTGTCAGCCACTGCTATAGCTCAGTATTCCATAAATACTGACTGCAATAGGCTGGATGAGTCTTTGGTTCTCTGAATGTAAGCTTTAGAACAGCAGTGAACTTTGTCCGTGTTGTTCACCAATGCATCCTAAACCTAGGACATGACCACAGGAATGAAAGCCTGAGCTGAGATCTGGAGTCCCAGGTCATTACTTGGGTTTTGGACTTGGCTCCAATATCTACCAGCTGTGGACAGTGGGTAAATCACTTCAGTGAGAGCTACCTTCATTTCCTCATCAGTAAAACTGGGCAGCACGAATATTTACCTCTCAGGGATGTTATCGGAGTTAAATGAGGTGGTTCATCAGGCAACGTGTCAGGAACTTAAGAAAGAAGTTGTCACAATTGTGGATGAGAAGATGAAGGAAGAATACGTATATTGAGAAAAAATGTTATCAGAAGGAAACCTACTAGACAAATCCAAGAGACAATTAAATGAAACTGTGAATAGCTTATAAGAGAAGGGGTATTGTACAGATAATTGATGCATTCTAACTGCGATGTTGGCAAAGAGTATTGAATACTCTGTGAACTGCCAATAAACAAACAAAAACTGAACAAACCAGTCTTAGAAGAAATACAACCAGAATGTTCCTTAGCAGAAAAGATGGACAGACTCATTTACTTTGGACATGCCATCAGGAAAGACCAACCACTGGAAAAGGACATCAAGTTTGGAAAAGTAGAGGGTCAGCAAAAATGAGATAAACCTTCGATGAGATGGACTGACGCAATAACCGTGCAGTGGGGACAGAGCAGGGGAGTATTACAGAGTGAGTGGAGACAGAGGCAAAGGAACCGCAGGAAACCACATAGTACTTGAGCTCCTGTTGAAAATCATGAGGCGCTGTCAAATGCCCAGGTTCACTCCCTGGAAGGTCCCTCCTGGGCCAACCCCACAAGACTACACCGAGATGGTCAGTGGGCAGGAGAGGAAGATACGGTCCAGCCTATGGCTTCAGGGCCATTGCAGGCTTGGGGATGGTGGCCTGAGCCTTTAGCTCAGACTCAGGCTCGCACTGTATAGGACTCCCCAGAGCACTAAGGAACCATGCTGGGGCGTATGGGAGCGGCGCCACAGCCCTCCTGAGGAAACAACACCCACGCGCTGCCTTTCTGTGCTGAGAGCAGGTGGCCGCGAGTTACCGTGCAAATAACTGGTGGCACAGAGGTAAAGGGCTATCTGGTTAGGGGTGGCAGCCTCTAGGGACAGGGAGAATTTATCCTGTTCCTTTCGGAAGACACTGTACCCCTTAGATGCCTCTCCTTTGTTAATATCATTGACGTCTAATGAGTAGTAGATTAGCTGCAGCCCCAGTCCTGGGTCTTGTCGATACCAGTACATATACTTGTGACCCTTAGTCTGAGAACATTGCAGAGTAACTTTCTTTCCTGTCTGTGCAATCCTATTCCTTGGGATCTGAGTGACACCAGTGTCCATGGAGCCTGAGGGGGAAATAAGACAGAAGGTGAAGGCGAAGCCCAGGAAGGGCCCTGGTGCTGTGAACTCAGGAGAGACCTGAGCCAGGACCTGGAAAACTTAAGGTGGGACTTCCCATCTGCTTCCCAATCTCACCTGTTCCCAGGAGGCAAAGGACTACCCCACAGAGGAGCCTGGAGTCCATGGCAGGAGGGTGGAAAGAGAGGTCTCCAGCTCTGAGCGTTGGAGGAAATGGACATGGGATTATGAAACTGGAAAGATTCATTCAACGATGTCACTGTCCCTCCCAATTTGCAGGGCCTTAGAGAAGACACAGCCATGCCCCATTCCCACAGGGCCTCACCTTCACCTTCTTCACTCCTCTAATCCACTCAGGTGGCTGGCTGTGTGGGTTGGTTTTCTATTGGTGTTGATGTCTCACTAGTGAGCAGGAAGCCCCTCCTCCTCTGCTCCCCCATGTTCATCACTGCCACCTACTGGAGTTCTCTCTCTTCCTCCCCCAAGTGCTTCTTTATTTCAGTTATTCAAGGGCCCATTAACCTCCCAATAAAATAGGCTCTGGAGAAAACTCAGAACCTTTCAAAGAAAGGGACCTGAGGCTCGCTGGAGGGTTGTGGCAACGTGGTGTTTCTCCTTCCTCTGTGTTTATTCTAACCGAGGTCCCGCTAAATGGTGCAACGTGGACATTTGCTCTAAAAAGTTTGAGTGCTTTTATTGATTTCTTTACTTTTCAAGAGGGGCAGCATCACTAACTTTGTTCCAAACTGTCACTGTTCTTTAATGGCTTCTGCTTTTTTGTCTGGTCAGTGTTTTCCAGGCACAGCATCTTCGCTGACAACCTTGGCTCTTTCTAAAAAGAAGGTATTTGTTTAACCTGGGCATGTATTGCAAAGAGATACTTAACACCTCCTCTCGTGTTTTCAATGAACTAAAACAGTTCATTAAACAGGTGCTTTTAGCATAACCATGCATGTCAAAAATCACAGACACAGCAGAGCCACAACCAGGTGTGACCACTTGGCCAATGAAGCAAACAAATGGCTTTTTGCCTGATGAAGTCTGTGCCTGCTCCTGGCTCTGCCTCACCCATGGTGCATCACGGCGTCCTATGCTAATCACTCCTGCTGCATACGCAAAAGAGGAAGTCTTCTTTTTAATATGTTTACTTTTTATTATGAACATTTCATACATATACCAAGTAGAGGCACTATATAATGACCCCCCCATCTGCCCATCTTCCAGTTTCCATAATTTCCAACTCTGGCTCTCTTATCTTTCCCCCACCTACTTCTCCATCTCCACCCTGGAGGGTGAGGAGACAGAGGCAGGAGAGAATGCCCAAGTGGGAACTGTGGGAACAGAAGGTGCTGGAGGATGGGCATGCGAGGCCCTGGGTGGAGATTTACAACTGTGTGAACTCAGACTTGCCTGCTCTCAGGAGACAAGGGGCCACGGAGCAGAGTACTCCACTGCCCAGGACAGGAGCAGGGTCCCTCTGAGGCTCCAGACACGCTGAAAGAGGGGCCAAGGGAAGAGGCTGGGATCTAGGGCGCCCCCTCATTCAATACACAGCGTTTGTCACTGCCACACGAGAACTGACTGTCTCAGCTGGTTGTGCAGCTGGGGACACCGAGGTGTGCAGAGAGCTGGTCACTGTCATCTACGTTTTGCCCAAAAAAGTTCTTTTTGTCCCTTCTTGTTCGTTTGTATGTTATTTAAAACAAGCTTTAGGTTTACAGAAAAATTGCACAGAAAGTACAGAGTATTCTCCCACCTGGACACAGTTCATTCTGTTATTACCATCTTGCATTCCTGTGATACATTTGTTACAACTGATGAACCAACACTGATACATAATTATTAGCTAAAGTCCATAGTTTACATTCGGGTCCACTCTGCACTCTGTGTTGTACAATCCCATGGGTTTTGACAAATACATAACACCATGTGTCCACCTTCGAAGTATCGTATAGAATAGCTTCCCTTTCAACCTAGTTGTTTAAATAGAACCAAATCTTCTCTGTCCTCAGTATTTATTATAAGAAAGTAATATAGTGGAGGCTGGCGTTGGAGACACTCCTGTGACTGTAGCTAAGGCAAAGGGTCACCCTGCTCTGGTGTAGTGGGTTAGAGCAGGGATTTTGGAGGTGGACAGCCTGGACTCTGCCATTTACCAGCTATGTAATCATGGGTAAGTTACTTTGCCACTCCCTGACTTGATTTTCTCTTCTGTAAAATGGGGATAATGAGTTGCCACATCCAAAGTTGTCATGAACATTGTGTAAGTAAACCACTTTGAAGAGTTCTTAACACATAACAAGCATCATATTTGTGTTTGTAATTACTATTTTCTGAACTGAAGTTTAGCTCTGAGTTTTCCAACCTGGTGTCCCAATCTTCAGGGATTTTAGGAAGTCAATAATATGTCAAGGAAAATCAAACATTTACTTGGCATAGGACTGTGCCAGGTAACCAACCTATCATTTTCCAACACTGAGTTTTTACTCAATGTACAATACAGGTTCTTTCTAAGAGTCTTAGGTAAACAAAAATGGAATCACAGATTAAGTATGTGTTAATGAATGATGCTATTTTAGTAAACCAATTTTTTTTAATTAAAAAAAATCATGAGGTCATCTGCAATAAAACACATATTCTTGGTGAAACTTGGTTGGGCTAGACTGCTGCTGTCCCCTCCTGGAAGAAAGGCAGAAGATGCACGTGTGTGTGTGTGTGTGTGTGTGTGTGTGTGTGTGTGTGTGTCAGAGGGTGAGGGAGAAGGGGGGAGGAAGGGGAGGAGGAAGAAAGAGGGTGGGGGCAGGAAGAGAGATATGAGCAGGAGCGGGAGAGGAGAGGAAAGGAAATGAGGTCAGGATGCAGAGAGAGAACCATGAGGAGGTGCAGAGGTGTGGGTAGGACCTGGAGAAAGAATATTTGCTGACAAGGTTGCTTCCATGGTGGACCTCAGCTCTACGTTCTCCATCACATCTCGGAGGTACAGGGTCTCATTCCTTACACAGGCGATCTCAACCTTGTTTGTCCTGGAGCCGTTTGTCAGTCTGGTGAATCCTAAGAATGCTTCTTAGGAGAATATTTTAAATGCACTAAGTAGAATATATTCTATGACAAGGGAAACCAACTATTTTGAAATGAAGTTATCAAAATATATTTTTAAATTTATGATATATTAATATATGTACATATTTAAAATTCATTTAATGAAATATATCATGGTGAGTCTGAAAACTGTCATGAGGTTATTAGTAGTGATGAGAGTAAGTGATATTTATTTAATGTAATGTCATACGGAAATATCTGTGATTTTCATATCAACCATAAAATGATATGAAAATATCTGTAATTTCCCTTAGTGATTTTGTCACAGGTGCTACCTAATACTGCTGTGGCTTATTCCCGATATTTACTACAGAAGGAAATGTTGTATTTCAGTTAGAGATTAGTAAAAATAAAGATGTTATATTTCCCATTCAAATAATTCATAGACCCCTGAATTCCATCTATGTCCCCCATGCATCCATGGATCCCAGGATAAAACTTCCTGCCTTAGAAAGAAATATGCTTCCTGCTGGAGTCCGTGGACGTGGAGCGTTAGGAAGTTCCTATCTCCTCAGAAATACTTTGCCTACACGGCTGCTTTTCTCAGCTTGTAAAAGATAACCTGATTTAAAAAAAAGGAAAGAAAAAAATTAAAACACTTTCTCAGTCTGATTTGCACACCTAAATTAATGAGAATGCCAGATACTTACCAAGATTGTATCCTAGTCCTTGGACCATGATATGATTTCTCTAGTCTGTCTTTCTATCCACCATCTTCGTTATTGTCACTTCCATCATTACCCATATCATTGTCCTCCTCCTCCTCATCATATTGTCTGTGTGGTCCCTGAGGGGTGTTATTGGAATACAAATGGCAGGCACATGATGTGACAGACACATACTCTCTTGTATGACAGATTAGGGCTTTATGCAAACAAACTCTGTAATCCGAAATAATATCCCTAAAAGGGAATCATAGAAAGATCTACACAGTACATACTAAACACTTTACAATAGTAAATGTTACTAATTTGAGACACCTCAGGTCCCAACAAATGGTAATACAGACATTCTTCTCATTGACAGAATTTTAGAAAATTCTGCTAAATTTAAGATGTTTGTATTAATTGGTAAGGAGTCCCTGAATGGTGTAAATGGTAAAGTACTTGGTACTGACAGAAAGTTGGGTGGTTCAGACCCACCAAGAGGGGCGTTGGCAGAACGATCTGGTGATTTGCTTGCAAAAGGTCACAGCCATTGAAAATCCTGTGGAGCGCAGCTGTACTCTGTCACACATGGGGACATCTTGACTTGGAATCAACTCAGTGGCAACTGGTGACTGGTTTAATTCATGAGTAAGCAGTGCCATATTTCAGAGACAGTGTGAAGGAGTCAATGTTGGAAACAGTTTCATTGGTTAAATACCTTTTCTCATACTTCTTCATAGTCCACAGTGTGCTCCCACTCCAAGCCTTCTCTCATTATTATAATATTGCACATCCCACACAAGGGAGGGGGCTTGGGGAAACTTGATACTTGATCTTTGCCTCTAGTGTGATAATTCTTAGTCTGTGTACTGATATTTTCAATGGAAACACTGAATGAATAAATCAAGAAAATAATAAAAATAGTTGCCTAAAAGGTGAAGGAAGAAATAGGGTGAAGGAAAGAGTCATGGAAGTTATATATATAATAATATGTCTTAATATATTAGAACAAATATATATTCGGATTTGCCTGAGTATATATTTATTATAGTTTTGACTCCAGAAGGATATAAATATTTTTCATTTTCAAAAATAATATTAACTCAGGCCCCTTCCAACTTCCTTCCCCTTCCCTGGGTATCTGTACCCGTGCCCTTCATCTAGGTTCTACTCTGACACACGTGGGGTTGCCATGAGTTGTAATCAATACAACAGCAACCGGTTTGTTTGGTTTTGGTTTTCTGCTCACCTAGAGTTTCATTCACAGCATTTTTCTTTGGTGTGTGCTCTTTCAAGTAGGGTTTCTGTTACTTCCCACCAACCTCATGTCCCACCTATTTCCTGAGCTGGGCCAGGACGAGTTTGTGTTCCAGGAACAGCCGACATGCAGCACTGTGGATGGACTGCTGGCACAGAAATACATGCCTGAGTCCTTGAGCTCCGTGGACTGGATCTTCATGCTACAGTGTGAGTTTTGGGTACATTGAGCTGAAAATCGCCCATCAGGCAATCCTGATTTATCAAGAGCTTCTTTATTCTGCAAGTAAGTCAAAAACTTGAGCTCTTCTCCCAGCTTCTGACGATACCAATAAACTCTATTGTGTTGTCTTATAGGGACACAATCCATCGTTGCTCTCTGCTTTGTTGTTATGACCAGCTGTCTTGGAGTCTGGGTGACCTCAGTGTCCATGGAGCCTGGGGAGGAAGGAGACAGAAGCTGGAGAACAGCCCAGGAGGAGCCTGTTATTACAGCCCCAGGAGGAAGCCCTGACCCTGGAGTCCAACAAGGTCAACAGGACTGACCTGCCCCCAGGAAACACAGGACTGCCAGGCAGAGAAGTGTGGGGTCCATGCTGCTCAGGGAAGGCAGGGCTGGTGGCCTTTCTCTAAGGCTGCTCATCCCCATCAGCAACCTCCATGTGATGTGGTCACCTCCCAGAGTCTTCGCAGCTGCTGTGGGCGTGAGTCACAATCATTTCACAGGGTGAGGGAGGGCTCTGCGTTTTAGCAGGTGAAACAACTAGTGTGCGTTTTAGCCTGCTTTCCTTTTTCTCCCCTGCCTCTACTCTTTCACTATGTATTTTTAAACCACCTATACTTTATTTATTTGCTTTTTCTAACTTGTCTTTCTGCCACTTTCCCTTTCCTTCTCTCTCTCACAGAATGAATAGTACTGCTCTGTGTGTATCTATCATAGCTTTTCCCAAGCTCCTAAAGTCATATAGCAGCTAGTTTACATTAAAAAATTAAATATTGAAGTTACAAAATAGTATTCATGAGAAATATGAAATGCAGTTAGAGAAACAATGGCATGGATACCCTTGCCTGGACTAATCAGCTTAAGAAAGAGTCTTGTTGAGAAGCTTTAAGCCCCTGGGCTACGCTTTCAGAGTTCATTACTCTGTTTCCACCTCCTCCTGGTAACCAGAACCTGAACTTTAGATTTGTCGCTAACTTACTTTTCAATTAGTTTTGGCACTTATATAAGAAACTACAAAATACATTTTATTTTGTATGTTTTTGGACTTTATCTAATTTAGGTCATTCTGCTCATACTTGTATGCGACTTGCTATTTTTTCATTCATTATTATATCCGTGATACTAATTCATGTTGGTGCCTATATTTTAGATAATTCATTTTTAGTAATTCTTAGCATTCCATTGCATTAGATTGCTAGAATGTATTATCCATTTTATATTAATGGGCATTATTCTCTGGGTCTTTGCTGCTACAAACAGCATTGCACTCTTGTATCTGTTCTGTACACATATGTGCAAGAGGGTCCCTTTACCTGGAAGATGAAGACTGAGTCTTAGAGTCAACAGATCATCTTCACATAATAATAACAACAAAATGTTTTTCTAAGTAACACAAATAAGTAGTTGCATCAACAGTGCAGGAGTGTTTTCAAATGCTCCACGTTTAGGACAGTAATTTATATACAACATCTCTTTTTAAATTGTTGGTATATTAGGTTAAAACTGTAGCTTATGGTAGTTTGTGTCTTTCTAATTACTGGGAAGATTGAACATATTTTTATATTTTTGGCCAGTAGTGTTTTTGTTTGGAGTCCCTGGCTGCTAACCGAAAATTTGGAGGTTGAGTTCACCCAGAGGGACCTTGGAAGAAATGCCTGGTGATCTACCTCCTAAAAATCAACTGTTGAAAACCCTATGGAGCACAGTTCTACTGTGACACTCATGGGGTTGCCATGACTTGGGATTGACTCGACAGCAACTGTTGTCTTTTTTTTTTTTTTTAAACTCACACACAATAAGCACCCTATTTGTGTTTGAAATTATTATTTTCTGGATTAAAGTTTAACTCTGAGATGTTTAACCTGGTGTTTTAATCCACAAAGATTTAGGAAGTCAATAATATGTCAAAGCAAATCAAACATTTACTTGTCATAGGACTGTGCCAGGTAACTAATATATCATTTCCCTGCCCTGCGATGAAATTCATTCTCATTGTGTAACACAAGTCCTTCCCAAGAGTTTTAAGTAAATGTAGATGGGAATGCAGGTTAAGTGTTTGTTAATGAATGCTGCTATTTTAGTAGACCATCGTTAAAACAAAACAAAGCAAACAACCTGAGGTCTCTTGTCATAAAAGATATGTTCCTGGTGGAACTTTTGTTGGGGATCCTGGGCCTCAAAGCTGATGCTGCCACCTCCTGGAAGAAAGATGGAAGATCCTCTCTCTCTCTGTGTGTGCAAGAGGGAGAGTTAACGGGCTGGGGGGAGGAGGTGAAGGAAGGGAAGAGGAAGAAAACAAGAGTGTGGGAAGGGGTGGGGAGAGCTAGGAGGTGGAGGAGAAAAGGGAAAAGGAAGAGAAGTCAGGATTCAGATTGAGAACCATGAGGAGGTGCAGAGGTGTGGGTAGGACCTAGAGAAAGAATGTTGGCTTCCATGGTGAATCTCAGCTCCAGGTTCTCCATCACATCTCTGAGGTAGAGACTCTCAGGTTCCTTACACAGGCAGTCTCAACCTTGTTTGTCCGGAGCCCCTTTGTCTGTTGAATCCTAGGAACCTTTCTCAGAAGAATGTTTTAAATGCACTAAGTAGAATATATACTATGACAAGGGAAACCAACTATTTTGAAATGCAGTTATCAAAATATATATGGACATCTTTAAAATTCATTTAATAAAATATATTACAGTGAGTCTGAAAACCTCCATGAACTTGAAGTGGTGACGAGAGTGAGTACTACTTATTCTACGTAATGTGACATGAAAATATCTGTAATTTCCGTTGGAGACACTGTCACAGGCACTGCTAACACTGCGGTGGCTTATTCCCTGCATTTACCACAGAATACATCTTTAGTTGTGAAAATAAAGATGTATTTTTTCCATTCAAATTCACAAATCCCTGAATTTCATCTATGTACCGCAGGGGTGCCATGAATCCTGGGTTAAAACTTTCTGCCTCTGAAGGGAATAGGGTTCATGTTGGAGGCCACCAGGGAGAGAAAACCACAGAGGCTGGGGACAAGGTGAAGGTTTAGGAAGTTCCTATCTCCTCAGAGATACTTTGCCTCACCCATGCCGTCGAGTGGATTCTGACTCATAGCGACCCTATATGTGTGATTTTTGTCAGATCGTCAAAGGTGTCCTGATTAAGAAAAGGAAGGGAAAAAAAATGTAAAACCACTGCTTTGGACTGATTTACATACTAAATTCTGATGATGGCAGGTACATACCATGACTGTATTCTAGTCTTTTCTCTACTCTGTCTTTCTGTCCATCATCTTCATTAGCAGTTATCTCCATCATTACCCAGAGCATTATCATCACTGTCATCATTATTATCACATTGTCTGTGTGATCCCTGAGGGGGGTGATAGTATTACAAATGGCAAGCACATGGTGTGATAGACACATATTGTCTTGGGTGAGAGATCAGGGCTTTATGCTAAGAAACCCTGTAATCAAAAATAATATCCCCATGGCACAGGGAGATATATACTTTAAAATCATCTCTTGCAATAGTACACGTTACCAATTCTGAGACACCTCAGGTCTCAGTAAATGATAATATAGACGCCATTCTCAATGACAGCATTTTAGAAAATTCTACTGATTTTAAGATCCTTGTCTTCAATGGTAAGCAGTGTCATGTTTCAGAGATAGCTCAAAGGAGTAAATATTGGAAAAGGTTATATTGGCTAAGGGCCTTTTCTCACACTTTAACAGATCCCACAGTTGGCATCCACCTCAGGCCTTCTCTTGTGATTATAATCTTGCACATTCCCTGCAGGGGAGGGGGCTGGTGAACCTGGATATTTGATGTTGGCCTCTAATGTGGTAATTATTCATCTGAATTCTTATGTATTTCAAATAAATACTGAGAGGATAAACCAAGAAAATAATAAGATGATTAACTTGAAGGGGAAGGAAGAAGGAGGGTGAAGGGCACAGGTATGGACATAAGATTATCTGATACATGTATTATAGTTTAGATTGTAATAAATATTTTAGTAAGCAGAAAAATAATAGTAAGTCAACAAAAGACATCCCTTCAAATTGAAAGAAAACTTTACCTGTGATTCTGACTGTAGATCAAGTTGGTTTCATAGTCATACAGATAAAATAAATATTTTAAATGAATTTCAGACAAACATTTTTACTCTATGTTCTAGTAGAATATATTCTAAAGACAAATTTCATGCTGTCAACTAATTATTATTAGCAATGTTGGTATTCAAATGGAAACATATACCTATATATATTTCCATAAAAATGGGATACTTCTTGTGCTTTCTGATGTGATACAATTGGAAGCTCACAGCATCCCCGATGAGGTGTTCTTGGTGGAAAATAGTAAACCTGAACTAATCTTGCCTTAAACACTAGCTGCCTGCTGTAGAAAATTCAGTGGACAAGGGAGCAAGGTCAATGACAATACTGAGAAGCAAACATAAATGTCTAGAATGTGGGACATTCTATAGGGCAACTGGCCTGGTTTATGCAACAAGTCAACTGTGTTTAAGAAAGGAAAGGTGCTTTTTTAAAGTAAAAGAAATCTAAGAGACTTGTTAATCAAAGGAAATGTGTGCATTTGTTTGCATCCTGATCTGAATAAAAAAAAAACAAAAAACTGTAAAAAGATATTTTTGTGACAATTAGGGATGTTTGATTATGGACTGGATATTAAATACAATGAAAAATTGCTGTTAATTTTGTTAGATGAAACAATGACTCTGTGATTATAAAAGACAATGTCCAAATGGGCTTTGGAAATGCATACTGAAGAGATAACAGTAAAATTACAAAGAATCTGGGATTTATTTTAAAATAATTCAGAAAAATCAATAAGCTAAAAAAATGCATCAAATATGATAAAGTCTTGGTAATGGCTGAATCTGTTGACTATATTGGGGTTTATTATACTATTCTCTTTAATTTAGAGTATAATCAAATGCTTTATAATGAAGTATTCCTCAAGATAAATGTGGATTCTAAGGATTTAAAACAAAAATTCTGGACACGTGGATCTGGTTGAATCCAAGCAATCTGGGTTTGCAACCTGGGCACCAGGTGATACATATGAAGACAAGTGATAGTGCCCATATTTTGAACAACATGACTGAGCTGATGAAAGCTTCCCGTAAGTTTCTGTCAGCAACACTGCGAGGAACAGTCATAAACCCTAGAAGAGTCTCTGGGTGTCATGGTTTGAATTATGTCCCCCAAAAATGTGTGTATCAATTTGGCTGGGCCGTGATTCCCAGAATTGTGTGGTTGGCCTCCATTTTGTGAATGTAATTTTATGTTAAAGAGGATTAG